GGAGAGACGGAAACACAAACAGCACATAAACTGCAAAAGGAAATGAGTTACTTGTCTTTGTCAAGGCACCACAACTTCAAAACGAACATTCTAACCCTCAGTGCTTCAATCTTTCCTCCTCAAAGTGCGAAGACTTGTTCACCCTCAAAGTGTGAGCAAGGCTGTTTTGCTGTACCTCTTGACTAAAAATAAATTTTTAACATTGGTTTTCCTGCTGTAGTCTGTGTCCTTTCTTCCAGTGCTCAGGCAAGATAATTATGGTAGTCATTAATCAGGCATTAAAAACCTCAATAGAAACTAAACCAGGAAAAAAAACACACAGACCTTTTCAGAATTTATTTTGTTCTACAATGCATAATGTTTAACTAAAACAGCCCGGGATGATTCAACACTTAACTATGCACAAATACTTTAAAGTGGATTTTTTTTCTCACATGCCTTTGTAACTTACACAATTAACAGCAGCTTGTCTGAACAAGTGTGCTCTAACACATTTTCCCTTGTTTCGGTGAAAATACCAATCTCAGGAGAAGTAAAACTCTAAATTATTAAGCTTATTTCAGCTGGGAGTTTATGAAAAAAGGGAAGCCTAGATTTAGGCCAGTGAGATAGAAAGAATCACCTTGGAAGTACGAAGGACCTTATTCAGACAGAATAACTTTAATCTCAATCAAGTCGGACACTTCTTTAACGGATCCCAAGGAACTTGTTAAATCAGTAAAAGAAACCAGGGCCTGATTTATTGAAGAAGCAAACTTTGCTCCATTTTCTTCAGAAGGGGAACTTGAGACCCAAGAGAGACGTGGCATGTAACATGCATATTCATAAAATCCAATCACATTTAAACTGTTTTTTTTATGTCTAGATCTGTAAAATAAATACTTCCCATTGGAAAAAGGGAGCATTGAATGTAGCCGCTATTTGTGTACCTTCTCTGTTGAAACACTGAAGACAACAGTCAAAATATTTTTTACCAGATATTTGAATGTTATAGTACTTTACATACTTAAGTGTACTATAGTTGGAAGGTCAGTAATAAGAATAATTTCAACAAGGTTAATCCCAAGTTGAATACCATGGATTTCTGTTTACCTGTACTAATGCTAATGTACCTGTGTTAATGTACATTAACGTTTGAAACACAAACAGGACACAAACTGTTTTTACCATGAATGGGTTCCTGGTAAACTGTACACAGTGCCTTATAAAAGTATTCAGACGATTCCTATGGTGTCCCATTGTGTGTGCTTAAAAAACTGTGAATATTTTTTAAATTCTACATTTTATTCAGACCCTGAATGCTTAAACTAACGGTTTCCAAGGGTAAGATATGTTACAGTTACATTAAAAAGAAAAAACTGAAACACGTTAATAAGTATTAAGACCCATGAGCTCAAAATCGCTGAAAGCACCTTTGACTAAAAAACTGATTCTTGTCCCAGTTTAAGATCTGAAGAGGGATTTCCTCTAAGATTTGGCACTACTATGCTCCCTCAATGTTCCCATCAGTCTTGACGAACTTCCCAAACCCAGCTGATTGGAAATAGAACTACAGCTGGTGTCTGGTGAGCGTTCTGGCGCACTATGGCTGCCGTCGCATCATCCAGGTGGATGATGCACATTGGTAATGGTGGAGGAGAGTCCCCATTACCTGTAAAGCCCTTTGAGTGGAGTGCCCAGAAAAGCGCTATATAAGTGTAAGCAATTATTATTAATTATTATTACAGCGTAATGCTGAACCACCGTGCATGGCCATAGGGAGGGTGTTGTGTGAGTGATGCACTACGTTGAAAACAATTCCAATTTTTTCTTGTCCAAAAACAAAACATATTCCGGTGTTTTCCTTATCACTTAGGTTCTGTGCCTGGGATGAGTTAACCCATCTCACCCACTGAACTCTTTCAAAGTCACTGCTGGCCTGACAGTGATGGCGCGATGCAGTATTCTCCTTGCCAAGCTGCTCAGTGCAGAGGTCCAGCCTGATCCAGGCAGTGTCTGGGTGCCTCCCACTTCTTAATGATTGACTTCACTTTGCTACATGAGATACGAAGGGTCTTTGAGAAAAAATTATACCCTTCTCCCAATCTCTGTCTGTATACAACTTTATCCCCGAATTGGTTTGAAAGTCCCTTGATCTTCCTAGTTGAACTTCTTCCTTACCAAATCAGTACCCGAGTGAGGGACTTTACAGAATTAGGTATATTTGGTCTGAAATCATGGAACCACTATTATTACACACAGACAGAGGTGAATCAGCTAACTGTTTGGCTTAGTAAACTCATTTTGTGCTCTAAAATTAATTTAGGCGTGCCTAAGCAAAGGATTTGAATACTTATGCTATCACAGCTTTTCTTTTTTTCTTTCATATTATTAATTCTTTCTTTTTTTGCTTTGTGTGGAGTAGGATGTGTCTATAACACATATTAATTGCTACTTCAAAGCCTCATAGCTGCATGATTTAAAGCAACAAAATGTGAGACATTTGAAAGGGTCTGAGTCCTTTTGCAAGGCCCTGCATATACTGTACACTAGCTTATTAGATATTATTAGAATTATTAATGAGGTCCAAAGTGAAACAGTGTCAAATCCAGGACCAGGTGAGCAGCTGTTCTCCAACTCTCCTTTCATCCATGTTAACAACCACATAATCATCTGACTATTCCATTAAGCGTTTTTGTTCCCAGACAAATGTTTCATGTTGATCTTCACATATCTTTATTTTTTCCAACAGCCAAAGGTAAAGGACCTTGAAAAAGATGCGAAGTACATTCCACAGAGAATACATTTCGACTGGTTAAGAAATAAAGATCTGAAAAAAACAGAACAGTCCTGGAGATCTGCAGTTTGACAACCCCTGCATTAGGAACTCCTACAACACGCCCAAACTAGCACTTTTCTTACCAATTTTGAAATGTTAGCAACCTATTTCCCTCCTGCGCAAATTAACGGGGGCAACTGGTGAAGGATTTCATGTATTTCACACAACCATGTAGACATGGGACACAAAAAATAATATGAAAAAAGTTAATGAGGTGCAGACGTGAACTAAAGATTTTAACTTTTGTTTTTCTTTTGCTGTTTATAAAACACAGATTGCTTTCAACAGTATTATGTTTGTATCATTTACTTTCCAGTCATTAAAATATGTTAAAGATAGCATCCAGGTATTTTTCTTACTCTAAAAAAATGCATGAAGTGAGATGCTGTATTTTTTTTTTCACAGTAGTAGTACGTTCTATGTTCTGAGAAGCAAGGATCTTTAACGATAACTGCTCTCCAACTGACTAAAATCTGTGTATTTAATCTAAGAATAATGACAAGTCATAAAAAGGGACCACATTATTAATACACTGAAAATCCAGTTTTAAAGTTGCACTTCCTTTAAAGGAACTTTGAGAAACTACCTTTTCAATTTCATTATCCCCGGTGACTGAAAAAAACTGTCAGGGAATTAAAAAACACTGGAAAATGTCACATTCACATAGAGGTAACTGGCCTCAGGCCCTCCACATACTGATAGCAAAAGTAGATAATATGAGGAGAGCCTTTTACATAAAAGCCATTTTTTTCTGTTTCTTTTATAATTAAGAGCACTTATTTGTGTGAATTGTAATATTAATATTATAAAATTGCCTTAATGCTTCAGAACAAATGTAATTATAGGCAATAGGTCTATAATAGAATTTAACTTCATATCTGAGTAAAGAAAAATTTAAACTACTACTACTGTACATAGATTATCCCTGATTCTATGCCTATTGACCAAGAACAGAGAGAACTACAGGTAGGCCGCCGATATTATGATATTATGATTATGAGTCCACTATAAATTAAAAAACAAAGCAATCAGGCGTTTTTACAATGAGCAATACGTTTTGCATGACTGTAAAAATAACGTTCAACTTATAGCAAGGAGGTTTATAGGAGAGCATCACTGAAATGTTACTAACGGGCTTTCAGAGGCCATAATATGCACATGGATTAGGATGAAATCTCCAAAATCTCAAGCAGAAATAAGGCTGCAATGCATACGTATAAGAACTGAACGTTAAATTCCGTCATTTCTGTTTAAAAATGGCTGGGGATGAAAATCATACGCAGGCACCACATTTTAATCATAACAGGTCTATGATGCTGCAATACGCGAATTGTGGAGGACATGCAGGTCACATTATTAAGTACAGAAGTGATGCCTGCATTTTCTTTGCATCAAGAAACAACTCCTCCCCGGCGCTGAAGCTGCACATTAGAGAGCAGCGACTTTCGAGAAGAAGTTAACAAGTACTCCTGTAAAACCTGTCCCTTTTAGGAAGAAAAAACACCAATGACGACTTGTTTTAATCAGCACTGAAAACGTCCTGTCAGCACACCTTCAGGTCACTAGACAGCAGTGTTTTACGACACCCCGTCTGAACCGGAGTTAGTTACGCTTTGAAAAGAGACCGTATATCCGGCTATTACTTTAATGAAGCCAGTAATTACGATCATTTCGGCTTCACGTGCGATTCTCCTCATTCCCGGAGACCAAGATCTTAGGCGCATCACCACGCGTGTTGCGGCATCTCTGTGCACCGACTCTTGCGATTATGAAGAACAGTCAAGGGAGGACAACACAATTATCATTATGAACGCATGCAAAAATTGTTCATTTAAAATTAATTAATTTTAGTATCCAGGAGTTAAATGATTTTTAAAATCTGAACTAAGCTACCGCAAAACCAGTTTAGATCGCGAAAACGACTGAGAAACATGAAACGAGCTTCACTGAATTTTGTTTCTATACTGGTGATCCATACCCCAGCAATAAATGAAGGAATGCATTATATCGATGTAATCTTGATTTCTCTGTTTTTAGGATATCAATCGGAGTTGCACATCTTCTCACTATGGCAATGCAAGAACCAAACCAATGTCAATCAGATGTATAACCACGCAAGACTTTACATAACGAAGCTTCACACAGCTTTAATTCTTGTAGTAATCCGAATGGAGATACTTACGGCGTACATCTGTCGCTGTATTCATTAGCAATTGTTTCAATGCCACCGCTCCTGGCAACAGCAATGTAGCAGTTTTGGAAGCCCACATCAATGCCTACCACTGACATAATGAATGAAGCTGGGAGGATGCTACCGTCCTCGCGTTATAATATTACTGTCACCTTCAGTAAAGAAAATGACACAGAAAATTATACGACCCCCCAACTGATGGTTCCGTTAAACCTGTCCCTTTTTTATCGTGTCCGCCTAACTGAAACACAGGTTTTTATAAAGCCGTATTATATAAACCAAATTTGCTAAACACTAGGCTTGTTCCAGTGAAGGGAAATTTCAGCAGAATTCTCTGGGCTTCTGCTGCAGTCACCAGCCGGCGGCACACGCAAAACTTGCGCAACCACTAGGAAAGCAGTGGAGAGTCCATAGGATACCGCCCTCTGCCCCCGAAGGATTGGCTGTACGGCTCCTGCCATCGTTTTAATTGCTGCTCTATCCCGTCCATCACGGAAAGATCTAGAAGGAGAGAGGGAAGCCTATCTGTTTACGTTATGTCAAGGGGCGGAGTGTACAAGTCGGCGTGTATAGAGTATGTTTTTTAAGGGGGGGTACGAAGTGCGAACGCTTGTGTCATCTGTAAATTTTAAGATGACATTACATTCTGAAAGGTCTGATCCTGGGAAGGCGGCCCTTTTGCGGTTGCGTGGTGAATTTATATTTAAAATATACGTTGCAAGTCAAACGTTCGCAGTGGAGTGTGTAGGGGCACACCAGATACCTGTCGCAAGAATTCAAACATAGTCATTGGTGTGGAATTAAGAGTTATAGTACATTACTAAAATGACGTGTTATAAATTACGGATCCAGTGTTAATTAACCAATATGATTATTAAACAGACCCAAAGCGGTGGCTTTTGATTAAAAAAAGGATAGAGGTTGGGATTTTCCGTGGCTTAGAAAAATTACCTTTGGAAGTCTTGTTTTTGTCTTGTTCCTAGACATTCAGAACGCTGTCCACCTAGTTCTTTTTTTTTTAGAGATATGTATTTCAGCCTAATTGCTCTCTCACCCCCAGGAGTAGCAAAAAAGGATGTTGCTTTATAAAGCTTCACATAGGGGCTTTCTTACCCTTGACTACATTTACTCATTACGGGGTTTTAATTGTTTTCAGCTCTGAAACTGTCAGGGATTTCAAGTTATCTATAAATAATCCTAGGTAATTTGCAAAAACGTTTGGAGAGCTGGAAATTTTTAAACCAGAGGACACTGGAATCCCAAGAGGAACAGGGCGGGAGAGCCATCGCCAAAACTTGGCCAACATTAACAAAACCATGAAATTCTATGGCCATCTGCCAGGTGTTAAGGGCTGTCTATCAAGACATTTATAACAAAATATCAGCACTTTATTTTGAATCTTTTGATTGCAGGAATGATTTAGAAACTTAACTGGTGTTAACATTTAATATTTGTTATACAGTATAAGTCCCAAATCTCCTAAATCTGTAGGTAGCCTACTGCTGCCCCAAACTGTCTTGATATTATGAGTAGTTATGAAATGTAAATCACAGAATGCTTTTCATGGCTACCACCCTGAAATACTATGTAATAACATTTAAAATATAAGTTTAGTAAGGTCTAGTAAAGTACTGAAAACTAAGTAGCTGGTATTTTAAAGCAACTATCTTCAACTGCAGCTATCAATTGTCATTTGGAGGGACCTGATTTATGTTCTACATGTACTGTAGATGATACAGTGCTGAATGCATGGAAACTCAGCTGATTGTTGACATGATTAGGCTATCACTACAATCTTCTTTTCACAATGATTTCATGCTGTAGACAGGAAACACTGAACTGATATAACTCACCTAAGGAACTGGGGAACTACCCTCAATAGATGATCAAACAGACCACCAGAAGCTACCCAGGAAGTAACACTGAAAAAAGATTAAAATAGAGTGGTAATGGTGAGAATGGCCATTAGTTCTATCTGGGGGAACAGGTTTTCCTGTCTTCCAAAGGAATGGTGACTAGATTAAATGGCACTTCCAAATTGTCTTAGTGTGTGTACTGTATATGTTGTGTGCCCAGCAATGGACTGGTGACCCTTACAGGCTGTTTACAAGGGAAATCAAACTGAAATGTAAATATGACAAAGTGGCCTCCAAATGTCACCACCATCTCATTATCTGAACACCAGGATTACCCACCACAGATATTGAACAGTAAAACTCCAACTTCCAAGTCATAGAAAGGATCAC